AGTGTATATCAGCAGTCTGCCGTCGGTGGTTGAGACTACTCTCACTACTCCGCCGCCGCCGCCGTTGGAGATGATTGAAGGTGCACACATTAGTGCTGCATTCCCCATCTCTCTCTCTCTCTAGAAGTTTCTCTCTCTAGAAATTTGGAGAGTAAAATTATTGGAGTGTGTTTGCTTTGGAACAAAAGTTTGATCGTTTATTATAAATGTGTTTTGATATATGTAATAATTAATTGGGGTTGTTAATATGCTGGAATCCCGACCCTAATTAGAATTACATGACAATCTCGATTTTTTTTTAAATACACTCCTATTTAAAAATATAATATGATTTATTTTTTTAATTATTTTTTTAATTGCACTCCTATTTAGTTGAACTGTCGTTTAGTTCTAACCAATGTTGTTAGAATCGGACCGAACCGGCCGGTCGGACCGGTTCGACCGAGACTCGGCAATAAAACGGTTCGATCTGACATCTCAAACCGGAAAAATCGAAAACGGGGTCAACTTATGATCAAATTCGGTTCGACCGGGTAAAATCCGAGAACCAACGAGTTAGTCAAGGAACCCGATTTTCGACCAAAACGTCTCGAATCACCGCTGATTTGATTATTTGTGGCTAGATTTGAGCGAACCTTCACAAACTTAGTAGTGGGTGGCCGGATCTAATCACGAGTGGTCGAAGGATTGTTGGATATGACCATGGGTGATCGAATAAGGGTGGCCGATTGCCGGATTTAAGGAATAAAAAATGGAAAATTATAGAGTATAAGTAATAAAATATAGAAAAAAGGTGAGGTAGTAGTCTACTTCCCTTTCGAATAAAGAATCCCTCAATTCTTCTTAATTAGAATGAAATAATTAAAGAAAAATTTAAATACATAAAGGAGTACCTCGGAATTCATAAGGGATTTACTTGAAGTAGATAAAAGTGAAAATAATAAGTGGGAGATTAAAAATATAAAGAAAATGATATTTTTAAAACAATAAAATTAATAAAACAATGGCATATTAAAAAAAATCAAAAACCCGGTTGAACCGGTTCTTTTTTTTTTTTTTTTTTTGAGAAACCAATTGAACCGGTTCGATCCTATAAACCAATGACCCAAATGGTCGTCCGGTTCTGAAAACATTGGTTCTAAAAAGTTTTGTTAGTAGAGATCTGTATCTCAAATCCGTTAAATACTTTTAAGGTACGTTATTTGTAGCACCAATTGATTTAATCTCACTTTATAGACCTTAAAAATGAAGTTTTTTGGCACTTTGCACATTTGAAAAATAATAATAGTACTTTGCATTCTCAAAACACAATAAATCATTCACTATGCACCCATAATTGAATAACGAGGGGAATTTCATTTTTTATTGATTTTTTATTTTTAGGGTGCAAAATAACAAATTAAATAGTTACTTTCTTCAATCACCAACCTACAAAGTGCAAGAAAATAAAAATCACAAAAAAATTATCAGTAAATTATTCTATTGATGGATCTTTTATTGCAATTAGTGGAAATATTTTGTAGAAACATTTGTAAGAAAATACGATTTTCAAATATAGATGCTAAAATATTTTGGATAAACTTAGCCAAACACGCCCTACCTAATTCTATGAAATGCATGCTTAATATTTAATTGAATTAGAAAATGTAAATGAGTCCAAAAGATATTTTGGATGTTTAGTGCATGACAGATAGTGGTAGTTAAGGTGGGAGAGAAGGGTGTCCCTTTGATTATCTGTATTCATAATATTCACAACAAATACTCTTCTGGCTTAACTTTTTCTTTTTTTTTTTCTTTTTTTTTTGTTTCTCGTAAAAGAAAAAAATAAATTAAAATCAATTATTCATGAATATTAAACGGCAAACACCATTAATTAAATAGTAATTAGATAAATATGTGTTACTATTTTTTCTTTCGAGCACCTAGATTTTCTATCTATGGACGTAAAGGAATCGACTTCATCTGAATATTTTGAATTTGTATTGATTTCAAATAAAATCAAGCTCGAACGGGCTTTAACAAATTGAGAATGAATCGACTCGAATTGGTGTTTTCCTGTATTTATTTGTCTTGTGAATCGAGCTCAAAGCGGATTATTTAATGGCTTGATCCCATTTTACATTCCTGAAATGAAGTTTTTTTTGGCATTTTGTACTTCTTTTAGAGAATTAATAGCATTTTACACCATCAAATAAATCATTTACAATGTACCCGAATTAAATATTTAAAACTTAATAAGGGCAATTATTTTTCTATTGTTTTCTTTATTTCTATGGTGGTAAAAATAAATAAATAAAATTCTTCAACATCCAACCCAATTTCGAGTGCACAAAGTCGAAAAAATAAAAACCATACCAAATTACTGAAAAAACTATTTTATCGCTAAATTATACGATAGAAAAATTTGTTATTGTAATTGGGATATTTGGTAGAAATTCTTGGAAGAAATATAATTTTCAGATAATTAGATAACAAAATAGTTGAATTATATAATTTTTTTAAAATATTTATTTTGTGATAAAAACATAATTTTCAAATATGTTGATGTGATGTATTTTTATTTTTGCACTTTATAATTTCAAAAGAATTGATGAATACAAAAATTTGATTTGACAATTATATCCTAAAAAAATCTCACTAAAAATATTAAATAGCCTTCATTAGTTTTAAAAATTCATTAGAGTGCATTATGTATGATTTATTGTGTTTCGAGTGTGAAAATAGTGTTTTTTTTTTTCAAGGGTACAAGATGCCAAATTACCATATTTCAAGGGTGCAAAGTGGAATTAAACCGGATTTAATTATTTTCGTTTGTATTTTTCATTGACAAATCAACTTGGCATCCAATATTTTGATTTTCACTAATTTTATGTGATGGAAATTATTATTTATAGCATATGGAAATTATTATATATATTCTTATTTTTTTGTTGAGGCAAGATTGGTTGTGATTTCAAATCAATTTGTTGGCTTAATCTAGATTTTATTATTTGTGATTTGAAATCAATTTGTTGGCTTAATTTAGATTTAATTATTAATTTGTGGCACATGGAGTAAGACTCCAGTCTATCAGCAGTCACGTAAAGACACTATCAAAACAATGATTGGACACATATTCAACCAGCTACTGATCATTCAAAATTAAAGAAATTATGTAAGTGGTGATGAGAGAATCTTAAATAGTATCTTGTTATTTGTTAACAAATTGTAATTGTACGAAATTACAAATATTTTTTTTAATATATGTTTGGCTTGATTTAAACATGAATAGGTTAATACACAATAGCTATGAAAATTGTGATAAAATTATTTATAATTTTCTTATTTAATTAAATGTTGCAGTTCATTAAAATATAGCGGAGTCAACTCGGCAAGAGTTTGAACTCAAACTTAAGAATTCAAACTTGTATAGATGTTTAAAAGATCGTGAGCCATCTCATTGATATGATACTCTTGAGCTTGAAACCTAAAAGACTAGCTCTCGTCTCAAGCTCGCATCCCAAGCTTAGACTTACATACCATGAACTCCTATTTCGAGCTTGTTTATCCAGGTCTGGTTGAGATCTGAAATTGACTCGTTGACCATGGACCCATGAATTGGCCCGCTGAGGAAGAGCAGGTTACAAATTTCTATCCCTTTACATGTGAATCCACCGGCTAGACTTTTTTTTTTTTTTTTTTCATTTTATAAATAACTTTTTAACCTATAAATACACATAAACCATCTCATTTCTCATCAATTCACTGCTAACAAGTTTCATTTCATTGAATTTCTTTCTCAAGTCTCAAATATTTTGATACATGATAAGTAGGCAATTTGGTTTTAAATTCAATAGAAAAGAAATATATTTGAATTTAAATCTAATTTTAGGGCGAAGTTTAAGTCCTTTCAAGTGTTATTTTTTTTGCATTATATTTGAATAATTTACATTTGAAAAAAAAACCCGGGCAAGTCGAACCTGGAACTGGCCCAAACCTGTACGACCCAGCGGGACTCGACCCATCCCGCAACCCGTCCTCCATCTTGGCCGAAACAACGTCTCCGTTTTTCAACCCTTGAACCATGTGGGCATGTCTATTTAGTACTCTACATATAACAATCTAAGTCATATTCTCAACTCGTATCAAATATGCATATCTGAGAAGCGCGATTATGAGGCCGACTAAAGATTTTAGTGTGGGCGCATTCACAAAATCGACTTTTCTAACATTTATAAGCTCAATAATTTGTCTATCCAACTTACTGAATTATAAAATAAGATTCTAATATTGTACCGTATCGATGGGCATGGTGCATCATTAAAGCATAAGGATGAAGAGATCATACAAGGTCTACTGAAAAGAAATTTCTTCCCTTCAAATGTATGCTGCTGGCCCGACCCGACCCGACCCGACCCCACCCCATATTGCCAAAAACCTTGAGTCGAATGGCTCATGAATAGTGGTAGAAGTTGGAATAAAATATCCGATTTCGACAGATTTCTACAACATAATTTTCAGTTTTTACACAATACGATTATTCTGAAGTACGAATATTTGATTTCCAATTTTTATTGAAACTTTTGAATTGAAATCGGTATTATATATAAGATTCTAATTTTGAATGGTCAATAGGCACAAATATCCTGTCACTACTAACCAGATGCATATAAGTTTTTAACGGTAGATCTATACATAATAACACACACATAAATCCATGTGTTTATATGCTTAGTGGGTATTTACTTATATAAATCACATAATGTATTTCATAAGGTGTAGGATCTCATAAGTCCGTACATATAATCCCATAAGTCGGTACATATAATCCAAAATTTAATTTCCAAAATTTAATTGCAAAGTTTTCAAAATTTCTCCCTCAAAAAATGTGGTAGGCTAACCCGACCCGACCCGACCCGTATTTAAAAAGATCTTGAATGAAATAGGAAGAAGATGGGTGGATAACATAACACCATAACGGAACTTATTACACTTCCAAATTCAAGATTGTTTTTGCGCCACTCAACAAACACTCTCTCTCTCTCTCTCTCTCTCTCTCTCTCTCTATTGATTCAATTGGCCCAGTTTTCATCATACAGTAAGAAGAAGAAGAAGAAGAAGAAGACCCAATTTCGATAGCATCAATGGCCGCCACGCCATGCACCGATCTCTACAACAACAACAGTATCTTCCTCCGCAAGAATAGGTCGATTTCTCTCATGGCTTTATCACCTTTCCCATTTCATCAACCTACAAAAATACCCGCCCACTCTTTCTCCAGAGGTTAGTTCAATTGGATAATTATTTAAGCTTAGAATTATTGTTTGATTATGTGTTTATCGGAGAGCTTGCTTAATTTTGCATTCATTAATTTATTACCGATTTTAGCTGTTCGACATGGTTATTGATTGGCAAGGTTTTTTGAAGAAACTGTTTCCGATTATGTGAAATTCGTTCTATCCGAATAAATCGCTTGCGAAACCTAAGAATTTCTCGAAAATCGGAAGATTGAAATTTGAGCAAGCAAATTTTTTATAGTGGATTGGGTTCTACACTGAGGGTGCCGGTTTATTGCACTGTTTAACCGAATTCGATATATATATATATATGTATATTTTTTTTAATTCTCGACATTGCATCTATTAGTATTGTTTATTCTCGACTTTATTGCGAGACGAGCATTTTAGGATCTAACAACCCGAAGAACACGTGTAGTAGTTGTCTTAAGAGATTATATTTAGAGGTTATGTCATTAATTTTGCTGTCGAGGTTGGGGGAGGAGCTTTTTTCCGAGACGTTTTGTGCGATTCTGTTATTGCGTGTTGATTTTTCGGTCCGTGTGATTCTTTTAGAACTATAAATTACAGAACAAAAAGTTTCTACACTAGGAGCTTCTACTTTCTTGAAAGCAACTTCTTCATCGTCAAAATCGAAGAGGTTACTCTCTACAATACCCCGATGCAGTGACTCGTCAAATGTAAGTGGCGATAAAGACGAAGAAATCTCAAAGAAGGAAAAGGTACGTATAGACACCAATGGCTAAAAACATCAATACAATTTATTTATAATTTTTTTATCAATACTTTATTATGCGTATCTGTCTGAGTAATTGTTTAGATTGTAAAATGCTCCCTTTTCGTATAATATTTTTCGATCATGGTACGTTTGGTTTGGTATGATTAGTTATTTGTTCGTAATGCAGACACCTTTCGGATATTCAAGAAAGGATGTTATACTAATTGGAGTCGGAGTTACTGGACTTGGCATTGGCCTCAAAAGTGGATTGGAGGTACGATGACTCGTATCTCGTTTTGAATTTTGTTTTCTTTTAATCAGGTGAAATAATATTTTGTAAACGCGGAGAATTTAGAGAATTTAATCAAACTAAAGCAAAAAAATTGACCGAATTGACGAGGATGCAGAATTAGTGCATGTGAGGGAAATTGATGTAGGACAAGCAATAAAAGTCGACATAGTAAAACCGATTTTTAAACGAAGAGAATAATCGAACTACAGAAAAATCAATGAGTTCACCGATTCATGTTTACGTGGCGTAAGTGTAGCTCATAATTCAGCTAAAGAACAGAAAATAAAAAAAGCAAAGAAATAATCAAGAAGTCGTAAAGTATTTGAAGATGTATACTTGAATTTGTATATAGCATCCTAATTCTTGAATTGTTTTCTTGAAATCTTATTGCAGTACGTCGGAGTTGATCCATTACAGGCTGGGAATGTGGTTCAGTTAGTATTGGTTTTAGGTCTTACGGTAGGTTGGATTTCGACATATATCTTCAGAGTCTCGAATAAGGAGATGACATATGCCACGCAATTACGCGACTATGAAGACAAAGTCATGCAGGTCAACTCACCGTAACTCCCTTCATTTTTTTCGACTTCAAGTTTTCAAGATTCTTCAAACAATTTTGCAGCATGAGGTTAAAATGGTAATTTTGTTGAAATTTGACAGAAACGTTTGGAGAGCTTAACAGAAGCAGAGATCGTAGCACTGGTCGAACAGGTTGAGGAAGAGAAGAGACAGTTGGCTGCTGGTGAGCAACTCAAATAATTCACGGCTTTTTCCGATCGGCAACTATTGTTTAATCCGCCGCGTATTGAAAATTATATATAGTACAGAAAAAATTAGGACAAACACGTTTTTTTTTTTGTGTGTAGCAAAGTAAATTATTATGAGCAGATGCTGATACACTAGTGATGAATCTCAATACCCAATCCACATGATATATATAGGGTGAAAAATGCTTTGCTTAATGTGTGTATACGTATTTACTTAAGTATTTTAAAATCATAATTATGTTTTACACTTTACTTCAAACTATTTGTTAAATTCTTATACTTCATAAATTTTTTAATTAGAAGACACAATTGGGGTTTGTATATTTTTTTTAATTCTCATATATATACTAGCATGGAGTACCGCCTGCCCCTATCCTATGCCAATCGAATTTTGTTCGACAGTACAAGGATGTTTTGGAGGGAGTCGTCAAACTAATTTTAAGGAGAGGCTACGACGAAGACCAATTCTTGTTACTTCAATACCACTACAAACAAAAAAAAAAAAAAGAAAAAAAAAAAGGTTCTTCCACAGTTGCAATGATGAACAAAATTGCCTCGACGTTCATCCATTAACCATATCGAAGTCACAAATATCCGATTAATTATGGTTCTTTCAATTGTCTCTTAGCATCCTACGAATATGAAAGAAACGGGGAGTAGTGACCAACAGAGCAACTTAAAAAATGTACGTAAAAGTATACTAGAGCACAGCCACAAAAGAACTGGGGGTGAAGTTTTTATTAGCCACTTCACCTGTATGTATGTTTATAGTTTAGTTCGCACAAACGCGACTTAATAATCAACTATCTGCTCCTTGTAAATAATCTTAGTTCAGCAGAGCATCGGATGGAGGGGTAAAATTGTCCAGAATAATGTCGTAGTGAGTATAAGAATCTGCAGATTGAAGAACTCAACTGACAAAGAATAAGGACTGGCAATTAACATAGGCAACCCCACCGTTTTTGCCCAAGTCGGACGAGATTTTGTGACAGCAAATACCCAATGTGGGAAGAGAGAAAAAAAGAACAAGCTGTTATTATCTCCTGCTCTTTATTGGCTTCAGTCTCTTAACAGCCATGAAAGTTACTGCAGCCGAAAGCGAGTACCTGCACCACATCATCTATATTACGAAAAAACCCATTGCTTTTTTTTTTTTTTTTTTTTTTTTATTTTAATTTCACATATTGTGAACTGAAAACAAGAAAAGCCGTGGGTGTCGAAAGTTTTGGCATCTGAGTAGAATATGATTTTTTTTTGTAATCGAGCATCAATTCCAAAAGTTAAAATATATATATATATATATATATATATATATATATATATATATATATACACACACACACACAAAAATAGCAATGGAGTGATCAATTTACCATGTCAGCATGTAGTTTAGATGGTCCTGTGGCATAACCGAACTACGAATTAACGTAATAGCGTCCTTTTGTATTGGGTATGGGCTGCTTGGATTAACATGTTCATTAATATCTTCAACGTATAATGTGTTCTCCGGAAGTCCACAAACACGAGCAAGTGCAGGAACATCCACATAAAACCACTGAGCGGCATTCGGATCATTTGCAGGAACAAATATACTAGGATTCTCGCTACCTCGTATAACTCCAATCACTTCGACAGGAGTAGCGGATGGAAGAAGATTCTCCTGTCAGAATTATTATTAAATGTCATGTAATTTATGTGTGTGTATTATCATATATTTGATATTTAGTTAAGAAGGCGAAGGAAAATTAGTTAGAACCTCGACAACTTCTTGCTTATCATTAGACCAAAAACGCCACCAAGAAACCTTAGCACTTTCTTGAATTGACGCGGATGAGCTACTTTTTGCCGGTGGTTCGTCTTCAGGCACGTTTAATAATGCCTTGTCTCTCCAGCTCCGTGGGACCCATCCTCTGTTGACTAGTATGGGTGACTGTACACTGCAAAAAAATTTAAGAATACCGATTGAATACGATTTATTAAACATCCAAGTATCCTTATTTTTCATCACAATGATGAATACTTAATTATTAGAACTAAGGTGCATCCGTTGTAAGTTATTTTTTAAGGCCAATTTTTTATAATTATTTTTTCAAATAACCCGGAAGTTGAAGTAGAATTCTCTCGACCGGAGATTGATTTCCACGTAATTTTATATTTTTTTTCTTCATATGAAGAAATAATGTATGTTCTGCTCTCCATTAGCACGGACACCAATATTGAAAGCATTACAGACCAACCATTATACACCATAGATTTAAAACGAACCAAAAATATGATACGTAAAATACAGCACGACGACCATAATAGTTTAGAAACTGAAAATACAGACTATCTTCATAGAGAAGTTGTCTATTAACCAATTACATTTTAAACACTGAAACGAAGTCCAGTGGCAAAATGTTCTTCATAGACCAAGTTCACCGAATAGTTGATTCCGGTATATGATAACATTAGATACTGAACTAATGCTGAATATTTATATATATATATAAAAAAAACTTTTCTTGTGAATATTTAAACAATACGTGTACCTTTCGGGATCACCATGGAAAGGAACAAGGGGAGTTATGAGGTAGTATCCATTTTCAGTCACGCCAGAAATGCTCCTTGAGCGTGGGCCCACATATATCGACTTTTTATCGTCAAAAACTCCTTTAAATTGTACTCTCCTAAACTCCAGAGAATCCAAACTCCCATTGGACGGCACAATATCATTTCCCTTAAGTGGTTCCAATTCTAGTCTACTCTGCCGATACTCCAGCGTTTTTATCTACAGAAGCAAACAAACATAACCCTGTGATTTGAATTCATTTTCGAACTAAACAACAAGCTAATTGCAACAAATGACTCCACGTATTCAAATGTTTCATCACAAGAAACCTATTGCATTCATCACTAATGCAAGCACATTTGGAATTATACACTACGGTTACGACTATTCTGAACAAGATAGGTAGTAACTATAGAACAATGGCTTGCTCTCAAACTTTGTGAATTGCAGCTTGTTTGATCGTTTGTTTTGTATACTCTTTACACTGATAAACTAGCTTACGTTGAGTAGATCAATTTAGCTCAAATATGTTTCATAATAACTAGATCTTCGGTTTAACACACACACACACACAGTTATAATTTTTGGATGAATTCGAAAAAATGAGAAAGAAATGAACCTTTTCTTGTCTTCTGAAGATTTGCCAAGTGCCGAGGCCAAACGTCATGGCTCCCGGTATAAAAAGCAATAGCTTTGACCATGTTGATCTTCTTTTTATCTCTGAAGATCCCAAAAAAAACCCCCAAATCAGTTTCAAAGTAAAATTCGACCTAGAAATGACAATTTTCTCATAAATAATCCTATTGTACAAAAAACCAGAAGCATTATTGTACGGAATAAGGGAAAGGATCAAATCTTGCAATGCGAAAACCAATAAGTAAGAAAAAAAAAAAAAAAACGATTCGTATGACCTTGTTCTGGTTGAGGTTCGGCGGAGATGGCAGCGGCGGAGGTGGAAATCGGGGATGAGTGTGGGGCCCAGTTAGGAGGGATCGCCGGAGTTAGTCGCTGCCGGAGATTTTTAGCTAGGGTTCTGGAGATGGAAGGTGTTGACATGTTTTAGGATTGTGAGGGTGACATCCAGAAAACGTCGTCGTACGACGTTGCAGCTGTGTTTGGGTTTACTGAAAGGGTTTTTCAGTGTCTGGGCAATTTTGGCGTGTGGGTTTTGTGTGATTCTTATGCTTGGACCATGTCCTTGATTTCATTTCGAACCTACTTGTTTTTTTTTTTTTTTTTTTTTTTTTTTTTTTTTTTTTTTTTTATAAGTGAAATGCTAATTGTAGCGGGTTTTTTACTGAAATTGGTTTATTTGCAGCGGTAGTCTCATTTCTCATTTTTTCAACTTTCTAAAAAACCCGAAACTTTCTCAACTAAAAAAAATCGAAAAACGAAAATCTTAAGTTCGTTTGACAAATTTGCTGTCGAGCAATAACAACTTCTTCAATGGCCGATCCGGACTACACAACACGAGAAATTAAAAAAAAAAAAAAAAAAGGAGCAGTTCGTCATCTGCAGGACGGGAACCTAGGTTTTCGTGCCCTAGAGGACGGGAAACATGGGGATTCGTCCTCTGGGGCACGAGGAATTTAATTTTTTAATTCATAGTATTATTAATTTTTATACTTTGGTAGGCTAATAATGAAGGCGATTTTGACAATGAATTTGACGATGAATATGAGAACGAGTACGAGAATCCCAACATGTGTTATAATGTTCCTCAAAACACACCAACAACTTCTGAGGATCATAGCGAATATTTCAATGTGAATATTCAGTTTGAAACTGGCAAAGAATTAGCGGCATGTGCAAAAAACACAGCTGCTACTCATGGTCATCGATTGATAGTAGCTTCAAGCGAGAAAAATGTTTATGTACTAAATACATGTTATCTGTCTGGGAAGGAACGTGAAAAACGAACCGATGGTGTGAGGCTACGAAATGTGGTAACAAAGAAATGTGGATGTACATTTCGTTTATACGGTAGCAAAAATCGATATACAAGCAAAAATTCGTCAAAGCAGGGACTAATAAGATTTTGCATTTTGGGAACACGTCGACTAATAGGTATTTCCGATTTTTGGTCTGCATTTTATAATATATTGTTGGTGTTTTTATTTATTAGTTGCATTTTTTATGTCTATCAACGGGGTGGAAAGTTCTCACAATTCGTCGAAGGGTTGAATTAGTACTTCTACAAGCGATGTTAACACCGTGCAATATTAGCTTGATTCGTGGGTTGATCGTCAACTTACCATGATCAAGGGGGAGTTTTCAAAATCCAGCTTAATTAGGAAGCATAAAGTAGCGTATCCAGTATTTCAGAGTTTCATATGCAAGGTCACACATAAGGCATTAAATTTGCTGGATGAAGAGCTCGGTAAACCCGGGGTACAAGATCCATCTAGTTGAGATCACGTTCTGTGGGTTACTACTCATGGACTTCCGTGTGCGTGATAAATTTCGTTGAAAATCCAACAACGTGATACATTTATAATTATGGAGCTACATCCATTCTGTACCATGCACGGTTGAAGAACCGGAAACACCCGAAGCACGGATAGACTGCGAAGCGGATATGAGAGACCAGATAATTAGACTGGCCTGATTACATGAATAGCACTATTAATCTTGACACGATCCACTTGGTTGAGCCTACATATGTTAAACCGAAGGGACGACTAAAGGATAAACCGACGAAGAGTAATAAGTCCGGTTGGGAGTACCCACCATTCCCGCCGAAGTCGTCTACTGATGAAGAAAATGGCAAATCGTATACAGGTTCTAAGGGTCGAAAAACTACTTCTACCGTAACCCCACCATTGAAAGTAACAGATCCCCCTCGCGATCGCGGACGGGGGCGCGGTCGGGGTAGTGGTAGATCAAGTGATGAATCTACTACCAATCAGAATCGTAATCCGATGCTCGAATGGAACCGGACGAAGAGCTCAATTTCAGATCATAGATCCCAGGTTTTGTGCAGGATCTATTGCATCTTATGTTAATGTTGTCGCGGATGGAAACTGTGGGTATAGATGTATTGCAGAAGCAGTGTTCCGAGATCAACACAGATGGAGTCGTGTGAGGAGAGATTTAATTACTGATATGTACGAGCGATTTGGTACATACGCATCGTAAAATGTGCAAGACGAAGTCATCCGATGAATTGCAAGATGTGATTGGCATGAAGGACCTTGTGGACCGGAAAATGGATGTCATTTCCAGATATGGGAATGTCGATCGCGTGACGAAATCTAAAGCGGCTTTGGTCCTATACACCGTCTGCGGTAGTATGACTTACTTACCTCTAGTAGGCCCGGGTGAATTGTCTCATATGATCCATATGGTGTTGTTAGGAAACCATTTTGTTCTTATTATTCAATTACCGGTTAATTGTCCACTACCACCCATCACTCCTCAGTGACGACCTATTAGAGCTGAAAATCTTAACCATTTGTCGGAAATGTTCGAACAACACCTATGTATGTGGCGTCGATTATCTAGGTTAGGTAGGTTTTTTAACTTTATGATGGTGCGTATTATTTAGATGTTATGATGTTGTGTATTATTTAGTTGTTATGTATTTGAAACTGTTATGTATTTCGAAACTTGTATTTGAAACTTTAAGTAAATTATGTTGTGTACTCTTTAGTAGTATTTTAATTATTTTTCGAACTTATGTAAATAACAGAAAAATACAAAATATATTAAAGAGCATTAAAAAACCTAAACATAAATAATAGTCAAACCAAAAATAATAGTGTTCTAGTACAAAATAAACAGAAAAAAGTAAAATTATCGAATCCATAAAAAAAATAATAGAAAAAACTAAAAGTATCGAATCCTAGATCCACTTTCTACCCCTAGACCTCCTCGACGTGCCCCGACGCGGTGGTGGCATCTCCATAAAATCATCGTCGTCGGAATCTTCAGCCTGAGGCGGGGTTAAATCGAGATAACTTGGCTCCAAACGGGGCTGCAAGTGCACACTGAGATGCTCTGGTATCTAATGCATGTACGAGCACAAGATACGCACAATGTTATAGAAGTCCGGCTGAATAGGGGGCGCACGTACAACGGCCAGTGATCCATGTGGCACTGGCTCCCTGTTGATGACGTACTGATACATGGAAGGACAATATTAACTATTTAAACTAGCTGAAAGGGCGTTCTTATAATTATCAGACTTTGACCTAACGGTCACAAGGTCAAACACTAGAAAATTAACTGAGAGAATTACATTGCTGACAATTGTACAAGTGCAGGGGTGCAAATCGATGCAATTAAGAATATGAGGGGTAATGTGATTCTAGCCTGGAGTAGAGAAAGTAGAATTTACCCTTTCTTTAATGGGGTTGTCTAGGGTCCGAGAGGGTTGTACTTCTCGAACCATAACCAACCAATAAAATCATGCCACGTATGATTAGTACGTACCCTATAATAAAAGGTACGAACCCTGTGTTACAGGTAAAATTACATAAAAACCCCTTGTAATTAAACTTAAAAATATAATTAGAAAAATCAATAATTCAAAAGTTAATTACATATTAAATTTTAAAATCATTAAATGAAAATTTTCTAACACAACTTATTATTTCACTAATCATCAATCGTTTAATCATTTAACCTAATCTCCCCAATCGGTTTCTTTTCATCATCCTCACCATCATCGATATTTCCTCTTGAAAGAACTATATCGATCATTCATCTCAAAATAAAAAAAAAATCATTAACGATCTTTTCCTCCATTAATCATCAATCAGTCAAGGGACAATGTTTCTTCTCTGTGAAACAAGAAAGTTAAGGACTAAACTTTTGATTTTTGTTTATTTAGCAATTTTCTCTTGCGCAACTTTGTTGCTACTTATTATTATTCAGAGATTTAAACTTCAAGAAAGAAATATGATGTAATCTTGTTCCATATGCCACATAAGTCAGTAGAGAGGGTAACTTTGAACCCAAAACTGCTCTAATTGATAAGAAACTGGAATATCTTCAATATATGATTAGAAAGCTCCGAAAATCTAGCTTTTAACAAAAAAAGTGGTTTACAAAAAAAACAACTGAGGAAGAAGTTATGATTATTTTTCTAGAGTATGCCAACTGCAATCGGGAAAAATGACATCTTTGTGTCTTTTGGTATTTCTAAATGCTTTACTTGTTTAATTAGTCTATGTTCGAAGTAACAATATTGTTATGAGATGATAAGGTCATGATTTATGTGCTGTCAATTTGATATTCACATTGCAAGTTTCACTTGATTAAGATGTTTAAATTGATATGTGGGGATGAGATAGAGAGAGAGTGCTGACATTTAAGAGATACAAAAATTAGTGTACGAATTTTAGGTTGAATTTTATTTGGTATTGCCTTAAAGTTGTTTATTATTTCGCGCTTGCAGGTGATCGAGTCCAAGAAGAATTTCGTGAAGAATGGTGGTCTAGTTTGAAAAGGACAAGTGACAACCAATTGTTGCATTGAAAGAGCCTAGAAAGATCAGCAATCATCTCTAATATGTGTTTCATTCATTTCCACCACTTCCATTTTAATTGTTTTGAGTACATGAATTGGTGATCTTCCATCATTTTCTTTTATCTATTATTTCTTTCTTCAAGAGTATTGTCCTAATATCAGATGTAAAAATTAGAGATTCTTGTTTGGTTGATATGAATACTATTTGTAAATAGGTGTATAAGAAGTATTAACATTGGTCCCTGGCCAAATGAAGTGTGGCCAATCTCAATCTTAGACAAATTCTGTCTTTTGATACCAAGTAAAAAAATTAACATTTTTCAGTGAAAAAAAGAAGAAAATAATCAAATAAGAACTAGCTCTGTTTCTTGCAACCAAAAAAACCATCAAGGCAAACAAAACTGATACATAACTGATACTCCGATAAGTTTCGTTATGTTGAATCAAAAAGAACAAAACATGAAAACTAAACCTGCGTAATGTTAAGTTCATGAACAATAAGGCATATACTAAAAAGTAAAAACAAACCAGGCCAAAAAACATTCAAGAACAATGATCAAACACATCATCCGCCCACGGTTTAATCTCATCGTTAATTAAAAATGGAATAAAAAACAAGTTAAAACTCTGATAAAATGCTACCTACTATTACATAAGTTTTTTTCAATAATAATAAAAATAAATAAATAACCAAACTTGCAACTTTCTCTCAAGTTTAAAGGAGCACGTGAAACTGGACGAGGACGATCAATACCCCTGAATATACGGAAACCCAAAAACTTTGCACGCATGGCACATATAATTTTTTTTCCCAAAATCCTCCTCGAAATGCAATGTGAATGGAATACATGATTGCACAAAGGGAGCACCGATATATAAGTCCGCAAAATCGGGCCCATTGAACAAATATCACAAACCAGCATAATCTTCAATCCGGGGCGGCTTTGTTGCATATACGGAGGAAAAGTAGAATACACGATGTGGGGTTTCTATGGCCATGTGGCGGACTTAGATAGGACAATGATGTTGGACTAGCGTGGTAAGGAGCAGGGCTTGGGAAAGCCGAAGAATTTGGGCTCGGTTGGATTGATGGAACATGAGCTGATGTTTGTTGAGCTCATTGGAGTATCGGCTGGCGGTGGTTCATGGCCCTGAGAAAGTGAAAATGTATGCATGCATCAGAGTTGTATCGGAAAAGTTTTCATATGTACACGGAAACACGTAATTTGCAGAAGTTGTATATTTCTTAAAAAATGGACCAAAATTTTTCACAAATTATAAACAAGACAACTATGAGCATTTATATATGTCAGGAAATGTAAACATCTGATTGTACTTAACTGCAAATCACATCATAAAAAATAAGAAAATGCCTAACTACATTCATGAAACATAATACATTGATCAAATAATAGAGCAGCCAACAAAACAAAAACACAAAAAAGAAAAAAACACAATTAAAAGGAAAATTAGGCAATAATTTAAAAAGCTTTCAAAGCTCATTCGCACGAACTATATCAAGATTTAAGTAAAATCCAAAAGAATAGCAAAGAAAAGAAACACAAAACACAAATGGTCTTATTTTCATGGATTCAATTTTCTAATTAAGTTTTAAATCCAAATCTGAAAACTAAATTTAAAAAATTGAAAAAAAAATCCAAAATATAACCCATATTTGCCGCTTTTGCGTCTTTATCGCTCTCAGATCGATATCCCATACGGAATTCTCTCATCCGTCGCCGTTCAACCTACCACAACCATCGATTTTCATTCCTCCCACCACAATTCGCGATAACAACGCTAAGGAAAAAAATTAAAAAAATTCGTAACGCCAGGGGGAGATCTGCCATAAATTAAAACTCTATTTATCTCGACGGAGTTCGCCATGAGGGGAGATGGAACCCACAAAAAAATCATGTATTGCGTCTCTATCTATGTGTGAAAGAAGATTGGTCATGGAAAAAGTGGATGATCTTTTTTCTTTGTTAAGACTTCGTGCAATTGTCTTAATTGATTATGATTTTCATATTTAATGATATTTTAATTTATTGATTTGAATTTATAAGGTTAATATTGTAATTTATATAAAGTACGATCTGTGTACGATGGTGAACGATGTGTTTTTACTAGGTTCGTACATTAATTTTTAAATTTCTAGTGTCGTACTGGGTCGTACATATGTCGTACATAAAATTAATGGCTAAGATTAAAACTTAGATGTTTTGTACGCACCAGATTAAATGTTTTACGGTCCGAGAAGTACAAACCTCTCGGACCCTAGACAACCCCAAATAACATCGTTGTTTCATGTAAATATCTTCTTACCATACAATTGATAAAATTACACCCCAAAAAAGAAACTATTTATCAAGCTAAAGACAAATTCAGACATGTTAAAATTTCTGCTTTTGCAGACAATAAAAAGTACTTTTTTTTCAACATTGAAGCCCCAATGGTCTAAGTTAAAGTTTGTTGATGAATTTGGCCCAAATGAGGAACCTTGACACAAATCATCCATAACCCCCCAATGATAAAATTAAAAAAAAAAAAAAAAAAAAAAAGTTACTACAACATTAAGCACTAAAAGCCTAAGCCCACCTACAAATCCCCCCGTTTCGTTTCTGTTAATCTCGAAAAACACCCTCATCAGCAGACATGTTAATGCATACATACATACATTATACATACATACACATACCTAAACCTTTAACCTCTCGCTTTCTTCGGAGTATGTCCAGTTTTGCGCTTGTGTCGGCTGAAATCAGACACAAACCGAAACGTCTGCCCGCACCCTGTCTCTGTGCAGACGTACGGGCGGGCCCCAGTGTGCACCCGAACGTGCTCCGTTCGAGCCCATGCCCACTTGAAAGTCATCTTGCACCCTTTCCACGGACACTTTAAAGGGCGGTCGTCCATGTGTACGCGTCTGTGCTGCACGAGATATTTATGGGAGAAGAATTTCTTCCCGCACCCTTTCACGGGGCAGATGTTTCTTTTGTGCAGCGTCAGCTCGTTTTTCGAGGCGAAGCTCATTGCGCAGCCTTCCATGTCGCATAGGTACTCTGCTTCTTCGTCTCCTCGGTTTTGGTTCTTTGCCTTTGCTGGATTCTTGATTGCGGCTGGACTTTTCGCCTTTGCTGCCTTTGCTGGTATTACCGCATCATTTTGCTGCTTCTTTGGTGCTGGTTTTGCTTTACTGGGGCCCGTTTCTTTACAGATGAGGGTTTTTGTTCTTTTTCTCAGACGTGTGCTGGGCCCACCTTCCGGTTCGTCAATCTGTTTCTTGGTCTTCGGTTGACTTTTCACAGGTTCTTGATTTGCACCACGTTTGTTCTTGATTTGTTTCCAAGAGCTGCTGAGTGGAAATTCGTCCGAAGAATCGTCGTCTAAATTTACGGCAGTCTCTTTCTTTAACTGCTTGGTTCGACATTCTTCAGAAGAATCATCCGAGATTTCAGGCTCGTGATTCTCTTCCTTCATTCTCCTCGAACCACGTTTCCTCTTAATCTGCTTACGGCAATTACGGAGCACAAAATCAAGAGAAGATTCATCCATCTTCGTAGTGGTTTCAGCAGAATTTTCCGCAACACTACTCTTTCTCTTTCTTTGCGACGACTGTCTCTCGTTCTTGAAATCGGGTTCTTGCAAAAAATCATGGTCAACCAGCAATGGGTGAGCATGACTAGACATCCACACTTTGCCGCACCATTTCCCAGCAACAAATATCTTCTTGTGCCTCCCGAAGCCTAAACTTTTACCTTCGATCTCAGCCTTGATCGAAGACGTGTCGTCGATTTCAGAGCTTCGTCCAAACGCACCGTATATAACGGAGTTGTAGTGCATCTGCTTACAGTAGAGAGGCGAGCGGCTGAGATTGGCACTGTAGAAGAGGTTGATTCCGAGTTTCACAGCCCAGTCTCGGTTTCCGTGTATCGAGTTTTCACTCTCTAAAGATAGTCGTATAATTTCTTCGTCCGCTTCGGTTGCATCCTGGAAAGAGATTTCATTCCAGGGACTATCGTTTTCGAGTTCTTCGGCGATTTTTCTTGCTTGGGATTCTAACTTCGGATAGTCTGCATATGTTATTACAGGACGAAAAAAACACATATTATGGAGATGTGATGTCGAAAGAAAATGTCGATAAATCGCAGAGAAGCTTATAAAGATTGACACAAACATAATAAAATCTCACCTGGATGACAGATGAGAAAAACGTGGGCCCCACCAACCTCACCGAGCCGCTTTTCTACTTGCATGGCATGCTGAAGGCAGAACACATGCAATCGAGAAGAATCTTCGTCGGATCTTGATGAAAAAGGCATAGTCGATTCCGCTAACGGCGTTGAACCATTGTTTGCTTCAGTCTTGCGGGTTAAAGAATTTGAGGTCTCGTTCCACGATTCCATTTGACGTCTAAACCTATCGGTTAAAGAATTCTTCGACTCGGCCACATTACAATTGTTTGTTAAATTTCTCGATTCTCCATTCCCGTGTGTCTCTATAGGTAGGCCGAATTTCGTATTAGAATCAGACATTCGTAAATCAGTGTCATTTTCAGGGCTATCGATTTTACAATTTCCACCGCCTTGGAAAGAAATATCAGCTTCGTTCTCGTCCTCCTCTTCAGAGTCCGACGAATTGGCATATGTTAAAGCTAATAGGCCAAGTGACGAGGGCGCTTTGTTTGCCTTTTCGGAAACCACACCTACACTGTTTTCTTTTTCCACCGATAACGGGGCGTCAAAAACACGTCCACTGTGCGTCTTTCCAATCATCAAAGCTGCAAAATCGAGACTTCCAATCGTAACTGCAGCCATATAAAGCAAAAAAGATTTCACAACGAAATATACCTGAAGAAGAAAGCTTTGCGTTTGGAGCCTTTGCGTCTTTGATGTCATTGTGTTCATTATCACTCGTTTCCCAAAAATTAAATATGCTGCAATCACCCGACATTATGTAACGAGCAGATGCTTCTGTAGGCTGAACAATAGCAACGCACGCAAAACACAAAATCCCACAAGTTACACACGAAAACAGCCCCTGCTCAGACTTCTGACAAGCTTTCTTTATTTCCCGATCCATGCACGGAACCTCCTCACTATTACGAAAATGCCCCTTTGTTTGTTTCATGCAAATGAGTTCATCGGGGGCATTATTGTTGTTGCTTGTGGTCTTCATCTCGAGATCGGGACTGCATAGACTGGGGAACAGCCTAGATTTGGCTGCTGAGTGGGACCCACTTGGTGAGTCGAGAGAATTCTTGGAAAGAAGCACAATCGGAGATCGTTTGCCGAGGATGTGAAGCATGTCGTTGTTCTGCATCATGTCCTGGAAAAATAGTTCTTTGATCAGCATTTCTCCTTCGCCTTTCTTTCTATCCTTTAATCTTGAACTCCGGGGCTCCGCTGCAATGCTCTTCGGCGCTCTGCATAGATTTATTTATGTATAAAATGATGAATGAACGTAATTCACAAGACAATAATAATGATGTAATCTTCATTCATAAGACAAAAAGAACTCGTATGAAATTTCAAGAATTCATAAAAGGCCTACGGATACTGAAATAACTATCTTAAAGAGCCCGTAACAAACAAAACTTCACGAACAAAAAAAAAAAAAAAAAACTGATAACGAAGACAACCGATGCTACACTATAGACAACATGATGTTTCAAATAGAGCGGAAATGCAGTTATTTATTTTCAAAAAACACGCACGCTTCTTCCGCTCAGAAAGCATTTCAGAATTTTTTTTAATGATTATGGAAGGGAGAAAGAGCACGAGTATATTGATTGTGAGCAAATCTTAACCAATGTTCATGAAAGATACAACAGCGAAACGATCCACGTTCCAAATATAGGTTCCTTTATCCACATCAAATGAGAACAAAGTAATCTAATTATAAGGCAGAGTCTCGACTCGAAAGAAAATAGTTACGGCCTAAAAGCAGTAAGGCAGTTTCCCCAGCTTATTTAGATTCCGAAAAATGCGTACAAGATCATGGAAAATTAGAGATTCTAAACATAATCGAAGAAGATTGCACGAGTGTCTATGGGGAGTAACTGAGTAAGTTTGAGTGCTAAAAGTAGATCAAGCGAGCTAAATTTGATTCATGAAAAAAGATTACATCAAGACATTAGTGAGTTACCTCGAACATAGCGAAAGTGCGAGATCGTATAGTAACTGGAAGTGAGACACCATCGGAGGACAATTAATAGCTGCCCTACGAATTGCGGCTTCTCTTGCAACCCTCAACCATTCAGGGGTAGCAATATTAGCAGCCTCTCCGCAATTAAATCCTAAAAATCGAACGATCATATATAAACATAAGATATTGATATTGAATAACTTATATACATATAGATACAACTTTTATATGTAAATATCAAAAAGGGAAGAGAGCCTTGCCATGGCTGAACCCCGAGTGATAAGCTCTCGGGAATGTGACAACAAACTCTCCAGCATTTTGCACCAACCTAAATGAAGAGATCGATTTAATAACCAAATTAAAGACGAACCAAAACTAAATACGATAGCACTACAAATTAAAAAAAAAAAAAAAAAAAACCGAGCAATATGATATAGCATAGCAGTAATCACCTGCAGCACGGAACACCAGCACTAAGAAGCACTTCGGGGGGCATTACGGTGGTCTTTTCACCAAGTGTAGCAAACGTAACTGAAAAAAATGTAGTGGTAAAATTTCATTAATACAATCCCGTAAATCTAGAAAAGGGGTTGTGGAGACTCGTCTAAATTTCTCGAATCAAACGCTGATTTTTTAGTTACTACAAAGTTTGCAGATCCTTTAGCATGTTCAAAAGATTAGACTGCGTGTTTATTCTATTCGGAAACATAATAAAGAGTTTGGTTTATAGCTAATCACCAACCGATCTTGAGTAGCATCACATTCGTATAATCGTCCGAACAAATTTCAAAACAACACAATAATTGCGTAACAAGGTTCATTCAAATTCTATTCGACCCAACCGACGAACCCTTTAAACAGTATCATCATCAAGAAAATAAAAATACGTGCAAAACACCTACCAATCGAGCATTATCCTAAAACTAGAGTCTAAAATGAAACGCGTCACACTAGCTAAAGTCGAGAAGCTTAATCATTTGTCGAAATAGCTCGATTCAGCACTACTATAGCATTTCTCCTCTTCTAAATACGTACGTGTACAGAACTATTGAGGCCAAATTTAGACATACGAAAGCAATTCCCCTAATGTAAGAGTATTCATCGAACATTTCATTTCAAGAAATCGACTAAATTATCCCTACATTAACCTTACCAAGGGGATTGATCTCTCCACTGTAACCATGCTCCCTTATTACTTCCTCGAACGCGACGGCCGCCTCACGCGGCACGCCGTACCACGTTTTCCCAGCTCCCATATGCAAGAAATTCATGCTGTGCAAATCGTGATCCTCCACATGCCAAGCGAACCAACTAAACATCATCGCCACGTAAACCATAGGCGACGTAACTCCCGGTATCTCCTCCTTCATAAACCTCAGCAGAGATAAATTCTCCCTCGAAACTCGTCTCATGTTCCACTCGGTGTCGCCCACGGTCAATGCGCTCTCGTTCTTCTTCACGCCGCTCTTCTGAGGCACGAATGCCGACCCGGGCATGTCGTTCGCGTACTCGACTTGAAAGGGCTTGTCGACCATCGCGTTCCAGTAGAGGGTCTCGATTTCGAGGGGGTTTAGTATCTTCTTCGAGTACTTCTTGAGGTAATTCTTCTCGAAATTCTTGGCTTTGGTTTCGAATTCGGCGAGGGTGTACTTCTCGCCGCTCTGCCACACGGGCTTCTGCACCGGGCGGTGCTTACGTGGACAGAAGCCGATCTGCTGCTGACGTGTGGTGAAGGTGGGGCCCGGGTCGGGGTTGTTGGACCGGGCCAAGAGGGACTTGTTCAAATTGGCGACAATGGTTTTCCTGGGAGCTGCGGGCACGGGAGGGACTATCTTGCAAATACCGTATTTCGAGGCCTCTTTCTCAATTTTGAAAATGTAAGCAATTGGATCTTGAAACTCGGCCAGAGTCGGGTGATACTCCGGCGCCACCGGCATGGATTTCAGCCACGGCGAAACCTCGATACTCCCACCACCACCCACCTCCGCAGCCATTAATTAACCCCCAAAAAAAGAAATATAAAAAAACCAACTAAAATAATTCCTCGGAGAAAAATCATACACGCCCCACCGCTACAAGTATTTACAGAGCATTTGTTTAATGCATGTGAGATCTGAAGGGGGTTCATGAAGGAAGCATTGTGAAAAGAAAAAAAAAATAAAAAAAAAAAACAGAGGAGAAGAAGAACAGAGCAGCCGAAAAAAAATAAGTTCCTCGAGAATCTGCTTTTTTTGGCTCTGTTCTTCCGTTTATCGAGGTGGGTTTTTCGTGATTTTTATTTATTTATTTATTTCTCTGTATTTTTGTTTCCTCTGTTTTTCGTTGGGTGAGAAATGAACAGAGGGAAGGTGAAAACATGTGAGAGTGGGTTTTATTGTGGGTTTTTTTACAGGGGTGGGAAATCGGACAGCGGTTTTGTGGTGGGGTCAATTGTGAAATGACTGTTTTGCCACTGTAGTCTTCTATTTTTCCTTCCTGGTCTTTTTTTTGTCTTTTTTTTTTTTTTTTTTTTTTTTACAAGAAACGAAAACGAGGAGTAATGAAGAGGTGGGTGGGGGTGGAAAGATTCGGGAATGGGCATCATTTCTTGGGAATTTCCATTACTGACCTTGTACTTTGGTTTATTTATGGTTTCGCCCCTTTATGTTTTGGTTTTGTGACGGTTTAGGTGAGAAGAAACTAATTAACTTCAACTAAAGGCTAAACATTTTCATTATAATTTATATGTTAGAAATTATTTCGCGGTACTAAGATTATGAATACCGTTTACAATGCACTTTCTTTATCTCTTTAACCCACCTAAATCTCCCAAAAAAACTCCATATCTCACAAGAACTCACAACAACACACCAAGATCATCACAAATCCTCTCAAACCCAAAAATCTCACCAAATTTGAAGGTCATTTCCACTCTATATACTTATATGTCAATTTTAGTTAGTTTATTTTGTTAATTACATGTTAAAAATCCCTAAATATCGAATTCTAAGTTTTTTTTTCCTGAACTGCTTTATTGGAACGCCTAAAATGGGAATCAAAATTATTTTTCATGGTCAAAGTGAGCATGGAAAATAGATTTGGACGCCCATTTTGGGCGTGGGATTGGGAGTTCAGACACCCGTTTTGGGCTTGGGTTAGGAAAACAGACGGCTGATTTGGGCATGGGGTTGGGGGGGCGGATGGTCAGATCGAGCGTGAAAATAACGGGTCGTTCGGTTCGGCTGAACCAGTCGACCAGTAATTTATTTTCTCAATAGAGACAGTTTAATTTATTTAATTTTTTAAATAGTAGTTTTGTTTCAATAATTACTTGATTAATGAAATTATACTGTTGATTTTGTAGATGTCAGACACGTTCGGGGTTCGGGAGATGCAAGGGTCTCATGACTCGTGTCATGAGGACATGGATTTGTTGGACATGAGGCATCAATAGATGATACTACTACACACAAGGGATCAAAAGGTGACACTACTGCAACGAGAGGGTAGGACACACAAGTGTAAGATTACAGGATCAACACAATGAGGTGAGAGCAATTTGCGACCGGTGGAGTCAGAGGCACAAGTGGATCTATCGCATAATGAGGATGATTACACAAGTAGGTTTTCACTCCCAGTATCTTTATCCGGTGCAAGATTTTGGATTAGATGGTAATGATGATGGCGATGACAATTTCGCACGCCCGCCTACTTTGACTGGTGCTGTTGCTGCTGCTACTTCGTCCGGTGCTGGTACTCGTTCACGTGGTCGTACTTCCCGCCGCAGAATGTTACTCATTCATGAAAGTTGACTGGTCCGGCACCTGGTGGACCTACAGAGTTTCAGTTGATGCCGAGTTTCAAAGCGCACGTTGTCTATGAAATTTGGGAGGGAAAGGTAATATTTATTAATTTTAATTGTATTTTTTTCTTATATGCTGTATCATGTCGATCAGATTTTTGTCTATCAATCGAATTATATCCAGAAGATGTTATGGATAAAACAAAATTATCGAGTACCACCTATGGAAGTTCGACAATTGAATATGTCGAATGATTCATTATGTCCCATGAAGGAGGACGAGGAAGTGTTGGCACCAGAAGTGTCATATCTAAATGAAATATGTGCATTATTGTACTTAATTCATGTACTCGATACGATTTGGCGTTTTCCATAAATTTGTTAGGTAGACATAACTCACCTCACCGAGCCGTATTCATTAGTGAAAGATGCAAAACTTGTACGTTGTATTGATATTGACCATAAATCATATACACACAAAGTCGCTCCCAGAATATATGGTTTATGAAGCACGTGGGTTTCCACAAAGTGTTTTTTTAACTCTCTTACTTTCAAACTAAATTTTAATTATGACTTAGTGGGCTAAGTATAATGCTTAGTGGGCTAAGTAGTGCTTAGTGGGTTTAATTGTGGATATTTATCTAACTTCTTAACTAACCCACTAACCCATTTTCTTGAGTACTCTTGTAGTTGGTTTTCTCGCAGGTCATGGGCTGAGGAGTGGAAGCTTGGAAAGTCTATAAATACCAAACTCAAGACTCAAGAAAAATACAGATTTCGAAGAAACAAAAACCGAGTGTTGAAAATTATTCATGAAAGTTTGAGTGTGTTTCTAGAATCTGTTGTACGTACTCCTCACGAGTACATTCTTTGAAATCTAGAATTTTTAATATTTCTCTTTTTGTTTCTAGATTTGAATGTAAGAATGATCATGATACTGATTCATTCATAAGGAAGAGTTTTCGTACATCTTCTATTTGTATTCTTGGAATACTGTTTTAATATAATTTTTCCTTCATGTAAAGGGCAAGTTCACAAGCTTTACTTGTGAACATTTTTAGATCTAAGTATTGTCTTTATATTTCCGCTGCATGTTTATTCAAGTGTCTTAACACTTAAGATAACACCTCTGTATTAAACGAATTCGGGACCATAAATTATTTCAGTTTAGTTTTAGAAAAGTAGTTATATATTGGAGGTCTGTGAAATGTATCTTAAGTGACTTGGTCGAATCATGTTAAAATTTTACTTTCACGGGGTAGTGCGTGAATGCACATGGCCTGAAGTCATGATTGGATATGTTTGAAATTTCTATGAGTGGATATACTGTTGGTGGTACCTATACGCAAGTGCCCGTATCGAACAAATAATATAGTGGACAATTAAGTTTGACTATCGATCTCATAGAGAATATTAAATTATCTAATTATAGATGCTAAATTCTACCAATTATGCTCAAGCTAACCCTACACAGTTGAAAGTTGATTAATTAAACTAAATTAAACTAAAACAATCTAGATAAGCAAAAGCATGAAAGTAATTAACTACGAAGATTTATGAGAGAAAACAAGCCTAGGATTTTATTCTTCCCCCTATGTGATTATTGATTCCCCAATTCTTTCAATTATGCAAATTATTAAATCGAATTACTAACATGAGATGCTAAATTAATCATAACTCGCTTTCACGTGTATTACTATTCTAATACTCTAGATTGAATTATTGTATTCCTAAGCAATTAAGTCTACGACACAACATGAAGCACAAATCCAATAATAGTTATCCAAGAGATTAACTATATTTCTATGTTAATGTTACAAAGACTCTTCTACCCAAGCTCTAATTATTATGCAAAGTATTAAATAGGATTGCTAACATGAGATGCTAAATTAATCATAACCAGCTTTGGCGTGTATTACGATTCTAATACTCTAGATTGAATTACTCTATTCCTACGCAATTAAATCTAGAACACAGAATGAAGCACAAATCTCAATAATAGTTACCCAAGAGATTAACTATATTTCTATGTTAATACTACAAATGCTCTTCTACCCAAGCTCTAATTATTAACCCGATCTTCTGATTCATGCGATTAACAATAACACAAGAGCATGTACAGTGGCCAGTTTCATACACTTAATAAAACCAATAAAAGAAATAATTTGGAATTAAAACTTGCATAAAATCATGGAAAATGGTTCGTAAATCCCACATAGGGTTCAAAATAAAATCCTAGAAATAAAGAGTTTAGCTACTCATGATTAAATTCAAAACTAAATAAAAATAGTTCATGAATGATAACAATTATGCTTGAATCTTCAAGGTCTTCGTCTTCGTTATTGCTTCTTTTGCTCTTGAAATTGCGTAAAAAAAAAAAAAAAAAAAAAGGACCCCTTCATTGTGTGCTTGAGTTGGTCTTTTATAAGGTGGAAAAGTTGAGGGAAAAAATAGTTTTCTTGTGCAATTAGAAGTGTCTTACTGCTCCTCTCCGCCTGCTCGGACGGCCATCTGGATTTTCAGTTAAAATCCCAGATGGCCATCTCAAATCCACAGACTTCACTCTTCTTGGAAATAGATTCAGACGGTCGTCTCAACTTCTAGTGTGTTTCTCGAACGGCCATCTTGAACGTCTGACTTAAGACTTCTTCACTTTTTGTCCACCTTTTTCTTCTTGTTTGCACTTTTGACCCCCCACCTTATTCAATTCTTCAATCCGTGTCTGAAATACAATAAATCACAACTTTAAACACCAATTATCAATAAATTATACCAAAAACTCCAATTAAAAGATACAATTGAGTGTAAAAGTATACACCTAACATATACTCGTACGGTCCCCTGCATACGTTCTCCTGAACCATATCTTGGTACCTGAAAATTATTTCCTCCTTTTGGTTTTAATTTTCGGTTTTTAGCTTTGCACAAAGATTAAGAATTTCATTAAATGTGTTTTGATTTTAGGAAAATGTATGTTTTTAGACTAAAATGACATTGACTTATAATTAATAAGAGAGAGAAATTAGTTGAAAAAGAGTATTGGAAAGTGTTAATAAGAGTATAAATTGAAAATTAAGTAATTAATGAAGTGTTGAAAATTTAAAGTGACAGATAATAGGGAACAGAAAAAATTCTACAAAGCAACATATATTTTGATACTCTTTTGCATGTATGAAATTTTCATCGAAAATAGTTTCCAAAATAATTTGTCGATCTAAAGTTAGAAATTAATCCAGTCAAGTGAAAAACATAAGTAGGGAATGAAAATTTAAAATTCATAAATATATAAAATAAAAGTATTTATTAATTCATGGTGATATTTTAACACGAAAACTTCTTTACATGTTTTAGATTATTAATGGAAGCAATTTTCGAAAATAATTGGTCAATTTGAAGTTATAAGTAAAAAGGTACTATCTAGTGAGCAAGAATTTATGATGATAAAACTATAAAATATATATATATATATATATATATATATATATATATATATATATATATATATATATATATATATATATATATATATATATATATATATATATATATATATATATATATATATATATATATATATATATATATATATATATATATATATATCCAATATCATTGTGCATACACACAAAGAAAAATATTGGGTTCACTCCAGTGATCAGCCAATCTGTTTATGTTTATTTTCCCACTTTTTTCGCTCTTTATTTTCTTCTAATTCCTAATTTGATATTTACCACCACACATCGTGCAACGTAATTGATTATATTCAACTATTCTTCTAAAAGTTGTACTATGTTGTTTACCGTCGTAATTATTTTACTTAGTTGAAGTGTTTTCTATATAATTGAATGAACTAATGTGTTTATGGTAATCTAATTCAATCAAATGTAGGTGGATAATAATCACCTCACCCGTGGTGGGCAACAAGGCTCGTATTACTTTCTTATAATCATTTTAAGACTTCAAAAATTGAGCAGCATATAGGAGTTTTTGCCTAAATGTCAGTATGCATACTATATTTAAGTTTATTTAAGCGTGTTATGATGAAATCTCATTTTCTATTGTGAAATCTATCTAGGGAATAGGGTTATTGTGTGAAACGAAATAGGCTTATAATCTTGTTTACAATTTGAAATGAGACTTTGTTTACGATTTATGTTCTGATATTTCAGATGCCCAAAGCATAATATAGAAAATAATTTAGAAAGATCCCTTGCCACAGACTTGTTGTTTTGATAACTATGGAATATATGTACTTTATTGTTACTCTCAATATTTTAAATTTATTTTTGATTAAATTAGAACTGACATCCTACTCCTATTTATACTTCTCCAACTCTATGATGAATGGTGAGAAATGATTTACTTATGTGGTTGGGGATGCCTATGTAGAACACTATATAAACGTTTGATATCTTTTAGGAAGCTAAGTACAATTGAGGGCTTTCTAGAAAGTTCTATAAATCTATATTAATCGGTTACGATTTCTATATATTCGTCGAAAAATTATATCTACAAATAAAGAAGAGTTAATCTCATTTGACGGGTTCCAGTAGATTTTGATGATCCCCATTCTTCGGCTCATGCCATTCTTAAAAACGAAATAAATTCTAGTGTTGAGATTCAGGTTTCTCTTGTCAATGTAAGTATTTAAACAAATTTCTTCTCCATTTATTGAATATTCCCCGTACTCTTACATTTTTTAAATAATTTTATCATCAAATTCTATATACTTTTTTAGTAATTCCTACAAAATAACACCTTATTTTATTAAAAAAAAAATATTTGTGCATTGTGGAAAAATATTATAAATTAATATTTAGCATGTATAATTTTTCAAATATTGGATTAAAATATTAACTCATTAGATATTTATATTAGGCAAAATGAGTTTTTTAGTCATGTAAGTTTGCCAGTTGAGAGCTTTAGTCCACCATGTTTCAAAATCAGAATTTTAGTCCTCTAAGTTACAAAAGTTGATAATTTTCGTCATATGACCTGCTATAACAGGTAATGTGATGGTTGGTTGAATGAGTTGACATTTAAAATATAAAAATAAATAGATTTAAAATAAATTAGGTGATGTGGCTAATGAGTTGGACAATTTTGGAGGGAAATAAAATATACCATCGTTATTTTTTTATTTGATGAATGAAATAAGCATTTTTGTAGTAACTATTTTTTAATTAATATTTCATATTTTTCAATTGATAAAAATAGTAATTAACTATATTTTATTACTCGTTGTTGATATTTGTTACTCTTGGTTTGATAATGTATTTTATGTTTGGAGACTCTGAAATACTTTTTTGGTATATTTAATTTAATAGATTTTTGAATATATTTTATTATTTTTTTGGTTAATTCGTAAATATGTATTTGATTTCTTATACTAATTATGATTGTGCATGTCATTTAACTTTACAACAAGGTTTAATAAAAGGAATTTTTTCGATTTTATATTGAATTTGATTGTTGGTTCAATTGTATTGTAATCACTAAGTATAGATTTGTAAAAAATGAAATATTTAGATAAATATTAATCTAATTACTATTTTTAACAAATAAAAACTAAAAAATGTTAAATAAACATTAATTAGTCTTATTTTCTTCATAAAAATATAGTTGTAGATTTTATTCAATGGGTTTATTGTGGTTCTTTATTATAAATATAACAAAAAAAAATTAAATATATAAATTAATATTTTATATGTTAAAATATTCTCATTATTTTGGTGAATTTGACATTGAGGATCATTTTTTTCTCCCAAATCATCCAACTCATTAGCCACATCACTTAATTTATTTTTATTCTATTTATTTTTATATTTTAAATGTCAACTCATTCAACCAACCATCACATTACATGTTATAGCAGGTCATAGGACTAAAATTCTCAACTTTTATTACTTACAAGACTAAATATCTGATTTTCAAACATGGCGGACTATAAAACTCTCAACTAGCAAACTTACAGGACTAAAAAACTCATTTTGGCTTTATATTAAAACTTGTATTCTGCATCAATATTTATTTAACAGTATATGTTAATGTTCTATTGTATTTATTACTAACATCAATTTCATTAACGTGGCCTTTTCATTTAGAATTAACTGTACAAAATTTAATGTTACAAATAAATATTTAATTTTTAATGTAAATGTTTGGTGAATTAAATAATTTCATGCAATATATGAAAAAATGTACTATCTAAATGTTATTTTTTTAATTTAATTATTTTATGAGTAAATAATTTTCAACCCAAAATTAAAAAAAAAAAATTACTATCTTAAATATTATTTATTTAATTTATTCATAGTACATGTATTATTTTTAAATAAAAATAAGGTGTCATTTATTAAAACTTAATAAAAATATATTAAGTTTATTTTACTTCTAACACCATTAGGATCAAATAGATTGACCATTAAGTGGATGGGATAATTGTATTTTTCATAATACAGAGGAGTAAGTGTTATAAAGGGCGTAGTACAAGGGGGTAAAGTGTATTTTACCGGATAAAATATTTAAGAGTTTATAAACTCTTCCAAAGTATTCGGTAAATTTTCTAAAAAAGATCTTAAAAGTTCGAAAAATAAGTTGCTGAAGAGCTTTTAAGATTTTTTTAAAAGTACCTCTACTCCACGTGTTTATGTAAGATCTTATAATGATGTAAAAATAATTTATAAGCTTACTATCCAAACACTTTAAAAATTAATTCCGAATATAAGATGTAACGACTTATCAGCTCTTAAACAATGACTTATCAGAAAAAGCTTATCAGCTGTTTAAAATAAGCTTAACCAAACATGCCCGAAATACATGCTCTTCGGCCTTCACCACTAAATAAGCAATATGTATTTGGCACACTAAATAGAAATGAGAAAGTCAATTAGGGTCCCAATTAATCCATTAATAACCATCCACTAAGTGGAATTAATGCAATAAAAACTAATAGTGTTTGAATGCATCACCAAAGAGAAAGAAACCTAGCTTCCGTTGTTAGTAGGGCCCACGTCAGAAAGCTCGAGCGATACTGGGCAATGGTCACTCCCGTAGAAACCTGCAACCATTTGACTCAGTTAAGATTGCAATTTTTCAAAACTTGAGGGGTCTAGATGTAATTAAACCAATTCGAACAATGTTCGTTTACCTTGTAGTTCAATACCATGTCCATGCATTTCACAGGCAACAATTCTTTCCTTGAGTTTCTCCGAGACTATGAAATAGTCGATTCTCATTCTTTTTCCACGATATCTGCAAATGTGTTAATTCATTTGTGTGAGCTCCAATAGTCGATTCTCATACTCTTTCATATCAATTAAATTAAATTAGCATAGTAACTTCTTACTTTCCGACGGGGTTTCCTGACCAGGAGAAACCACGCTCCATGTCTTTATCCTTGTGTAAATACCTATACGAATCCATTAGCTTTCCCCTGGGTAAACACAAGTTAAACTCGAGTTTGAGATTTCAAGAAACCACAAATACTTGGTAGGGAAAAAAAAAAAAAAGAAAAAAGAAAGAAAAAGAAAAGGCAAGAATTCAACAAACCCTAAATCAAAATTAAAGAACTATGTATTCTTACGTTGTTGAATCGAAATACGTTATGATGCCAATTGTTGATAATTTTGTCATCATCCAATTGTTTTTCGAAATTTCAAAATCACAATGTGATAAAATAATAATCAATTAAAATAAGAAAAGGTCCTCCTAATTCCAATTATGAATTTGCTTGGGGACTTTGGGAACAGCCTTTCTAATTCTAATTACGAATGTTGATTGATTTTACCGTAAAACCATTTAATAACTCATAATCAGATCAGACAAAACGATACGTACTCTTTTAGAATGGAACCAAATCGCTTCCTCTCAGACAATGTAAATCCAGGTTGTCCACAATCCTGCATCACATAGAAAAAATATATTGACATCACCATTTATGTATATATATATATATATATATATATATATATATATATATATATATATATATATATATATATATATATATATATATACAATTCATCTACTGCTTCGAATATTACGTTTTTCTACTCCATTCTTTCTCATTATAAGTGTGAACAAGAATGCACAGAAAAGTTGACTACCAAATCAAGAGTAAAAATGCCTTATTAGTTAGTTATTATACTCGCGACCAATTTCTCGAATACAGTTGGTAGTATTTATTTATTTTATTTTCTTTTTCCCTTCATAATCACTTGATTAAATTTTATTCAAATAACAGGCTTTATAATGAACACGGAACTCGACAGGCAATAAAGTAAGCTGCAATACCTCTTTATTTGGCGGAACATAACCATTTTGCTTAGCTGAACTGAAAAATTCTGGATGACTTACATCAATATCTTCGTGAGTGCATAAAAAAATTTAATAATAGTAACAAGAGATTACGAACAGCATTATCCAATATACGAAATGCACAAATTGAACGGATCAGCTGAACTTATTATTGCACTTGTTTTGGCAAAGTACCTGACGTTAAGATCTCCACACCAGATAAGGGGCTTATCGGAATTTTTCAGAACAAATTCTAACATCCTTTTATCCCACTTTCTTCTCCTCTGAAACGAAGATTCCTCTTCCTTCCATCCATTGTTAGGAGAGTATGTATTCAATATACGGAATGATTCAAATTCAGCCAATATAACCCTGCCATCTGGTTCATGCTTTGAACCTAATAAGAAAGACATTTATGAATTGACTTTTGCAAAACAATTGGAGGTTTAGATGATAATTGTTATTTAGAGAATACAATATGCTATTGTTACGAGTTGTGCAACAAAAGCTTCTTATGTATGCCTTTCCTACCTTAGTTTTTCTCGCATATATTTTTTCTTTTTTGTTTTCCTACAAATTTTGAAAATTTTAGCTCGTTATTTCAATTTGTAAACATTGATCGGGACAATCCACAAGAAAAAAATGTTTAATAGCCAGAGATAATATAGGCAAGAATATTGAATGACGAGAATGGTACTATTGAGATACAATTTCATTTCCTTATTATTGAATCATACTATATGTGGGATGAAGGTAGTTTTGAATCCAATAGCTATAGGGCATAATTATTTTTTATATAAAAAAAGATCCTACTTGAAAAATGATATCATCGAACAAACCTGATTGGTCCAATGAGAAAGAAACCCTTTTCGGCTGGAAGCACTTTTTAATAAACAAAGCAGTTCCAGCATATTTTGTATCTGAAAGTGACCACCATACATTATAGTTTTTAAATGGTGGATTTGATAAGGCACGCATCAGAAGCTGCACAAAAAAATAACGGGAAAATCATTCCATAAACTTAATTAACATATACTGACAGTAAAACTCTATTTCATGGAAATGTTGCTGCCTACGTTCTTACTCAATTTACATTTTCAGAGAAGATTTTTTATTCCTGAACTAATAGAGTACTATGCTAGCAGAGTTTATGTAATCAAACTACAACGGCTAAAAAAATTTAAATCATAAATTTTATACACTTTTCTCGAAATAAAAAGTTAACCTGTTTCTCCTCACGTGAGGCGGTAGTATCATCTTTGAACTCTCTAGGGTTTTTCGGTGCACCTTTAGAACCAGCTGCAGGCATTCTAACTTCCTACCACCATTATCAAGTTAGATAAACTCTTGTCCAAGGTTCCAAGTAACAAAATTCAAAATTACAAGGGAACAAGAAAAGATCACTACAAATCAAAGAGAATAATAATAAATGAATTCCAAAGAAAGAATGCAACAAATAGGAGTAGATGTTCCACAAATATTTTACGTGGGAAACGTTGCACAATCAACTAAAAGACTTTATGCTAAAGCAGGCCCGGTTCTTGTACAAAACATGTTTACTTACATATAGGCAACAACAAAAAATAAATTGAAGCAATTGAATATTAATACAAGCAAATGACTTTCTGATTGGACCCATGCAAGTAACATGTATTCCAAGATCATAAATTCCTACTCAAACAGCATTAGACGTTCGCCAAATCTTACAAGAATCGTTTAGCACATGGATGTACAACTACAAAAGCAAAAACTTTGATGAATTCACTGTAAGCAAACAATGCAACCAAAAAAGATTTCATAAGAACTCAAACCAGCCACTCCCATTTTGAAGCATCAAAAGAAAAACAAATTCACAAACACTTGGCAGGCACTAATCCAACATTAGAAAAATAACACTTTAGAAAAGAATACCTGTATTGCAATGACGTCAGGATCAAGGGTTTCTAAGAACTTTGAGAAGTCGGTCCAGTTGTTCTTGACTCGTAGCAGGAAACTGTTGGCATTCCATGTCAAGAATTTCGAAGGCTCTTTCTTTGTGGTGTCTTCATCAATGGCGGCAGAAGCATTTTCCGTTGGGGTTTCGGATTCTTTCAGTGGTGAAGAGGAAGAGGAGAGAGTGGGTTTCTTGGAAGGGGAATCTCTCTCTACCGGCTTGAAAAATCTCTTCATCTTTGTGTTCGCCGCCGGCGATTCCGTCAATTGAGAGACGGAATGTATAACCTTTGTTTGTTGGCTGGCTCTAGCCGGAGAAATTAACTTAGGGGGTTATTGCTAATTATTGGAAGTGTGGGGGAACATTTTCACACTAAAAAAAAGAAGTTGTCAAATTGCAAACTAACCCTTGAAATAGGATAAATTACGAAAAAACCCCTCGAATTTGCATAATTATGTTTACATCTTGAAATCAAGGCATTGCACAAAGGGGATGATGAGAAAATCAAAGAAAACTGTTTGACTCACCACAAAAGTCGAAGCTACTTATAGTTTCGTCAAAGATCGGTAGAATACGTATAACAATTGCGAAATATGTGATCGTGTAGCTAACAGACTCTGACAATCTTAAGCTTCGTACCCGATTGTTAGCCTCTTGCACGGACTAATATATTATGTTTTGTAAAGGAACATGTGCCAAAGTGAACTATATATGCGCCAACATACAAATCCACCGGTAAATAATGAGAGTCGTTACAAGTGGTGCTAAAAATGAAATCGTTGCCATTTGATGTGTGTTGTTGTGCATCATGCTCTAAGATCGACATCATAAAAATGTGAACAAGTTATGTGCCAAAAAACCAAAAAATGAGGTTGTAACCTCAATGTAGCTAACAGAGAAGAATTCAAAAATTTGTTATATGGTGAGCAGGGGCGGCCCTCAGGGCCCACTTTCCAATGGGGCCCAAAAAAATATGTATTTGGTGTTATTATTTTATAATTGTCTTTCTTTTCTCATCTTACAACCCTTCTTCTCATCCTCTCTTGACTTTTTAACCCTTTCTTTCCACATTAATTTTTTGAACCAATTCATTTTGTCATTTATCTTTCTCTATTTTTTCACCCAATAAATCTCTTTCATCCTCTTACCCCTTCTCTCTTATTTACATTGTTTTACTCAAATCTAATTTTTCTTGCACTCCTATATATTTCTCTATTGTTAGTTTTTACGGTTTAAACTTAATTATTTTTTTCATATTATTGGTGTTTTTATGTCTCGAAATTAAATTATTTTTGTTATATTAAAAAACTTTTTTCTAATACCCATTTTTATTTAATACATCCATATCTTACACACACACACACACACATATATATATATATATATATATATATATATTTAAAAAAATCGGAATTTAGGGCCTCGATTTTAAGTCTTGCCCAGGGTCTCCAATCACCCAGGACCGGCCCTAATGATGAGCTTAAATTTTTGGGAATTCGGGGGCAACATGGTTGAACATATGTTTAGGACTTTGTTTAGCATGAAGTAGGGGAAAATCAGAAAATTAGGAAATAAAAACATAAAGAGGAACGCAACATCGGGCAGAACCAACAAAAAGTTGGAAAAAGAGGATAACTCTAATATGAATTTATATAACAAATTTAGAAGTTTACAAAGTAAAATATTAATAAATAACCATATTCTTTTATTTAAATTAAATGTAGGTTATATCTAATAACAGGAAGTATCTTTACTGAATGACTATCGTATTCGTATATTTGACAAATAACTTTAGTACTTTCGTAAATCCTTTTTGAGGGAGTTTAGATTCAACAATTAGGTATATTTGAACCCCATAATTCATTATGTGACCAAATATAAATATTTCGATGATCGAATTATATGTTCATCGAGAGTGACAACTTCAATCAAGAATGTCCTTCTTATATCAAGAGAGTTTTTAAACAGATTTTCAGAGTTAAAGATATGATTGAAAATCATTGAAGATTTTGAAACAAACATATGTCACATGCTATGGGATGGTGTTGTATAGACACGGCCATGGGCCGGTTCACGCCGGTTCGCGGTTCTCTTTTTTCGGAACCAGAACTGGCCCGTACTACATGCGGTTCGGCGAGCCAGGCCGGCCCCTATTTTTCTTTATCTTTCTTTTCTGTTCGTTTCATCACACCGGATGGAGAACCCTTCTATCATCAGGGTAATGATCCATCAACCTGGGTAATGATCCATCAACCTGCTAGTTCTTTTTATGAGGCGCAAACGTGAGAATTTATCCGGGAAGTGGAAGAACTGCTCAAACTACGCGAAACCCTCCGGTTCACTCCGGTTCCGGGCCTATCCGGGTCGGCCCGAAAAATTATATTGATATATATATATATATATATATATATATATATATATATATATATATATATATATATATATATATATATATATATATATATATATATATATATATATATATATATATATATATATATATATATATATATATATATATATATATATATGTATATATTGAAAAATACTTTATGGATAAATAAATTAAAAGAATTAATTTTAAATAGGAAAAAAATAAAAGGAAATAAATAAAAGGACTTGAACTTAATTTTATAGGAAAAAATGGGGTGTGAGTGTATTTATAGGAAAAAATGGGGGATTCAAAAAAGAGTAAATAACAGTCTGTTCAGTTTTTTTCAGTTTTTTTTTTTCAATCCGGGTGAACCGCCGGGCCGGCCCGGCGGTTCACGGTTCACCAATTCATAGAACCGGGCCCGTCCCAGGGACGACGGACCGGTTCACCGGTCAACGGCTTGGGCCGGTTCGTCAACAGACCGGTTCGGGCCGGTTCCGGGCCGAAAACCGACCCATGGCCATGTCTAGTGTTGTATATTCCTACGAAAAGATTTACCTTTTAACATTTAGTGTTTATTCGATTTATCGCTCAAGTGTATTGAATACTGATGTTTTGGTAATGCTACATTGGACAAGTTTTGTCATATTAGAAAAACGTTATCAAATTATGTGTTCATTTTCGAATGATAGCTTCTACTCTTTTTGAGTAAGGTGGTATTTGCAAAATCTTTTAGTCATAATTTATGAAATTTTTTTTTGCACGTAATATGTTTTTAGGTGTTTGCAAATTCAACTTTGCTTTTGATTCTCTTCAAAGAACATGCTTTAAGCTTTTTTTTTTAAAGTATCTGAAACACGTGGATTATTTCCACATTTTGTTTTTAACTTTCTTATTTTCTAACTAAATTTTAGTTATGGAATAAGTAGTGCTTAGTGGGTTTAGTATATGGCTTAGTGGGCTAAGTAGTGCTTAGTGGGTTAAATTGTGAATATTATTTTAACTACCCAACTAACCCACTAACCCATGTTCTTGAGTGCTCTTGTAGTTGGTTTTCTTGCAGATCATGGGCTGAGGAGTGGATGCTTGGAATGCCTATAAATACCGACTTCAATACTCAAGGAAGATTATCGATTCGACGAAATAAAAAACCGAGAGCTGAAAAGAATACATGAGTGTTTTAGAGTGGTTTTAGAATCGGTCGTTTGTACTCCTCATGAGTACATTCTTTACGTACTCCTCATGAGTACATTATTTACGTACTTCTCATAAGTACATTCTTTGTAGTCTAGATTGTTTAGTATATATGTTTCTAGACTTGGTTGTAAGAATGATCAAGATAGTGATTCATTCATAAGTTCTTTACGTACTCCTCTCGAGTATATCTTTGAAATCTAGAATTTTTAATATTTTTCTTTTTGTATCTAGATTTGAATGTAAGAATGATCATGAGAATGATTCATTCATAAGGAAGAAGTTTTCGCACCTCTTCTGTTTGTATTCTTGGAATACTGATTTTAATATATTTTTCCGTCCTGTAAAGGGCAAGTTCACAAGTCTTTACTTGTGAACATTTTTAATTCTGAGTATTGTTATTTTATCTTTATATTTCCGCTGCGTGTTTGTTCAAGTGTCATAACACTTAATATAACACCTCTGTATTAAACGAATTCGGGACCATAAATTCTTTCAATTGGCATCAAGAGCCAACACTTGACGTATACTAAGTGTTTGTTCCTATTTCTTTTACAGAAACGAATTCGTGATGGACACACAGATGACTGCTTCTATGCGTCCTCCTGTACTTGATGGCACAAACTACACCTACTGGAAGGTCAAGATGAGAGCATACATCAAAGCCATTGATGAGAGAGCCTGGAGATCTATTCTCACTGGATGGAAGCCACCAACTATCACAGACGTGGACGGGGATGTGTTTCCAACTCCAGAATTATGGTGGACACCAGATGATCTTGCAAATGCTAACCAAAATTCAAAGGCGTTAAATGCAATTTTTAATTCAGTAGATTTAACAATGTTTAAATTAATCTCTGTATGCACTTCTGCGAAGGATGCTTGGGAAGTTCTTCAGCTACATTGTGAGGGATCAGATAGTGTCAGAAGAACCAAACTCAGATTACTCTCTTCCAAATTTGAGAGACTGAGAATGGAGGAAACTGAAACAATTTCTCAGTACAATGAGAAGTTGATTGATTTGGCTAATGAATTTCAATCCTTAGGTGGTCCCTTGAGCAACGAGACACTGGTGAACAAGGTATTGAGAACTCTTCCAGAAAGGTTCAGCATGACGGTTACTGCTATTGAGGAGGCTAAAGATACATCATCTCTACGGCTGGACGAATTAATTGGTAGTCTAAAGTCCCGAGAGATGAACTTCGAAGATCAAAGAAAGGAGAAAGGAAAGGCTATCTCAAATGCACTCCAGGCAGAATTAGAAAAGGAAGATGCTGCTCTGGAATATGATGATGATGCAGAAGAATGTCTCAACAATGTGGCATTTCAAATTCAGAAATTCAATAGGGCGTACAGACGAAGTGGAATCAAGCCCAGACAGTTATTTCCAGAAGGCTCTCCACAAAATCGACAAACTCAGCCTCGGAACAGATCTATTCCACAGAGAACATTTCCTCAAACATCCTCTCAAAACACTTCAAAAAATTCTTCATTTATTTGTTCAAATTCTGAACCACCTAACTTGGATCATATTAAATGCAGGGCATGTTCAGGATTTGGACATTATGCTAATGAATGTGCAAATACCTTGAGAAGAAGAGGAATGAGTCTGATTTGTGCAGTCAGTGATGAGGAGGAAGAGCAACCTGAACAGACAGAGGAACAACAATCCTCTAAACAAGCTCTTTCTATCAGATATCTCACTGGAAGTGCCTCT